TACTTGAGTTGAGTTAAACATTTTAAAATGGTTAATTTTATTAAAAAATATTTATAATCTTTTTATAACTTAATGTAATGAATATGTTATTTTTATTAAAATTTTATTAGCTTAAGAATTAAAAAATAAAAGTACTGTGGGCTTCAACAAAAACGTGGCCTCTGCAACACTATTATTGGCCAGAGTTTGTTCCTACCACTTCCGGCAGAAACCAACCAGAGGATCCGTCGAGAGAGAAGTAGTTAATGGGTGAGATAGAAAAAAAGTACCTGGGAGTGAAGAACAATTAATTAATACGATCCCATCTTAATGATCCATCGATCTTTCTAGGACTGCATGATCATTTGCATATGCACTGTATTTTCATGTACGTACCCACTTTTCACCTAATAAATTCTTCCATCCGCCATCAGATCATCTAAATAAATTCGCTACTTTGATCTCTTCCTCTTCCTTTCATTTATAGTTCTCATTCCCCAATATACTAACCATATTTAATGCCGAAGCATAGTATAAGGTTAGCAAATGCTATATACCAAGAATACCACTATGTATATGTACTTTTTAAATTGTATACCAGCATTAATATATAATACATGTTTTATGTTTTTATCATTATATTTATTTAATGATTCTTTAATAAACTATAGACAAGATTCTTCAAAATATAAAAGATATAATAAAACTTCTATTATTACGCTAAATTTTATTTTTATAGTATTATTATTAGAATTTTTTTAAACTCACTCTTAAGAATTGAAGTTAAAAAAATATTTATTATTGTAGAAATTTTATTACAATACGCTATCAAAAATTTATACATAAATAATATTTCAGTAGTTAATCACTAATTACAATAATAGATACATGTCTATTATAATAGTGAAATATATATATATATATATATATATAATATTTTACTGTTTTTTTTTTAATTAAAATGTTGGAGAACTTATTATAGTAGTTTTATGCAAAATGCTATAATAGGCTATAATCTATTGGTGCAGTCTTTTTTTTTTATATCAGTCAATCTCAAAATCACTGTGATAGTTCCTAAAAGTTATTCACCTTATTTAGTTCATTTACTTGTCTCTCGAAAAACTATCTTCCTTTTGCTCAACTGTATCCTTCGCAAATAAACTGTTATAATAGGTGTAACCGGTTTTAGTATAAGGAATGCCCAAAGAATATACTAAAACTGGTTTTTTGCTGCTATAAAAGGATTTTTTTTGTTTGTAATAGTGTATTTTATATGAACAAAAGTATATTAGTGAAATATTATCTTGAATTTTTACGGTGACAAATAAGAACAATTTTCTTCTTCGATCTCCTTTTAGACAAATAAATAGTACAAATTATTAAATACTACATCTACTCTTATTCACCTATTTAGAAAGAGAAGAAAAATACTGTTCCTCTTAATTTGTTTACATATTTTTTTAAGATAATATTAATTATTATTCTTTTGCTGACATCCTTTTGTCTATATAAACATGATTGTTTAATAAAAATTTATTATTCTTAAATGTTTAAACTCAATCTTAAGGACTAAAATTAATAATATAGTTATACTATTTCAGTAGTTCAAGAATAAACAAATAATTAATAAATGATAATTAATTCTAATAAAATAATTAAAAAAAATATCTGTATATTTTTTATAATTAAATAAAAATAAAGATAGTATCTATTATTATTTAGTTAGTTAGTTTAATTTGTACACTTAAATAATTAGTAGAACACAAACTAAAACAATAAAACTAGCTATTATCTTTATTCTTTTATAAGTTACCTTTAAATTTTCTGTTATAATGCTTTATGGAGTCTGTTTTATCTCAGTTCAACAGTAAATTAGTGCGATTATTAAATTTATTATGAATGGCATTTTATAAAATAAAAAATGAAAAAAAATAAACGATTAGTATTTATAATATGAGAGATTAAAATGGAAATTTATTTAGTGTTGTGACAAGATAGTTAGAAAACTCGTGATCTTCCAACAACAACTATTGGTCATTGAATAAAATAATGTGTCACGCAATGATTTAAATTCCGTATCAGATTCAGAAGAACTGCAAATCCAGGGACAGATCCCAGATGAAGGTAGCTCACACCCTTCCAATAACAATTGTTAGTCATTCAATACAAATATCAGAAAGAGAGATTAATAAAACACAGTATCTTCCAACAACAATTTGTTTGTCATTCAATACAAATACATTGCAGTAGCACCCCATTAATTGAGTTTCGTATATCAGAATTCAGATTTGAGACGATACTTGAATTCTCTCTTTACGTTTGATAACTTATTTTACTTACGTTACGTTACATCGAGAAATCTTGTAAAGGCACTCAAAAACCACGTACGAATAAGGGAAAGAGATTCAAGCTCTAAAGTATGTCTTAAATACATACTTTACCCGCTTAGAATAATTTCCTTCTTTTCATAATATTACTATAAACGCACCCTTAAATATTGTATTAAACACAATATACTCTAGTTTATTACAATTCATTATATATTTTAATCCAATTTAATAATTAAATTTAACAATACGTGTTTTTTAGCTAAAAAGTATGCATTTCTATGTCTTAAACTGCAGTTGTTATTCTTACATAAAAGTATTTTCAGAAATTATATTGAGTGAGAATAATTTTATACTTATTCTTTTTTATCATGCCATTTAATATATTTTACACTTAGCATTTGATTTTTTTAATCTAGCCTTAATTTAATTTTTTTAATTTAAAAATCTTATTTTTAATTATTTCATGTTAAGTATAATCGAATATTTATTATCAATGATAAATATATTAATTTAGGGACTGTTTGGTTTTAGATATGTTTTCGTCTTATTTTATATTTTCAGTTTTAATTACAAACATTACTTTATTTTCAGAATTGTTTATAAATATTTAAGAATAAAAAATAAAATTAAAATAAAGTGATAATTTTTTAATTAAAACTAAAAACAGAAAAAAATGAAAATATAAAACATTGTTTTTGAAACTAAAAAGCCTCTTATATTTTTAAATTATAAATTATATTAAATTAAAAATAATTATATAATATATTATTATTTTTTCATTTAAAAAAATTATTTTACAATATTCACACTAAAAAATTACTAATATGTCTAAAAGTTATACGACCCTATATTATTTCCCCACGTTCGATGATCATTAGAAGATAAATTGCAATAAGAGGGGATTCTTGTTAAACTCTCCTTTGATACTCTTGAGACACCTTGGAAAAAAAAAAGGCATGCCTCACTGTGTAACAAGCGAGGCAAATATTTTGAATTGTTGCTAAATCACGAAACATTATTTTAAAAACATTAAAGTTTATAAAAAAATACTCATGGATGTATAATTTTAAAATTTACATTTATTTATATTTTAAAAATACATTTTACACGAAAACAAAATTAATTGATATAATATAAATAAATTTTTAAATTTGTAAAAAAATTGCATATTTAATACTATATTTGTAGAGATTTAGAAAATTTTAAAAATAAAAAAATCTTCAAGCAATTGTCCTTTTTAAACAAAAGCTTTTTATTCAAAATATGATGAGGAACATTATGTAAAGCTGAAAAGGTATGCATGCACAATTTCTCAGGAAGAATCACATATTGGAGTCACAATCCATCCCTATGATGGGCTCACGTGCCTACAATCTTTTTGCTGCTAAAGGCACACGCGGAACTACTTAGTGGGCCAGTTCATTTATTTCAGGCCCATATAAAAGCTAAGCTATAAATATCTGGCCCATACTTTTTGTACCACCGATTATTTTTACTCAACACTATCCTTAAGTTTGTTTTTGTTTTTTTTGGAAATTTTTTATCTATAGGTTATTGTATTTGACACCACCCTCAATTTTATTTTTGTTCGTATACCATTTTATTTCTCGAACTGTTGTCAAATACTATTGCTGAAATTTATTTCCGCAAGTATATATAAACTAATTTTAAAAAAAAATAATTTTTAAAAAATAATTTTTGAACGGTCTATCATTTACGAAATAATATTCTGAAAATTCAATTCCAGAAGCTCTTAAAAACACACTTCCATAATTAATTTTTTTGGAAGTGTTGTCAAATATTATTCTGAAAAATTATTTCAAAAAATATATATAAGCTAATTCCAAAAATTAGTGTTCGAAAGGTCTGCCATTTATGAAATACCATTTCAAAATCTTATTTCTGAATGCTCTTAAAAACACACTTCTGAAATTAACTTTTTGAAATTTTATTTAATACCTTCCAGAACTAAATTTTTGAAAAAATTGCAACTTCTAAGATTTTTGAAAAGTAAAAACAAAAGTGGTTTTGAAACTTTTTTTGAAACAATGTTTTTATAAAGAATTGGGATAGTGTATTTTTAAAAAGGGGTGCAAAAAGTTTGGGCCTTAATATCATTAACGAAAAGGTAGTAGCTGAGGTTTTATATTTGGCATTCGCAATGCTGTTTCCAGTGGCAAATGTGTGCTTTCAATTTGGGAGCCAAGTGGAACACTGTCCTTTTATTTTCATTTGTCCACATCATTAAAGCAATCTCCACTCATATGAATGAATAGTAAGGATTAGTGCAACGGAACAGAAAAGCAGACATGTGTTTAAAGTGTTTGTAGATGGAAAGTATTATAATTATTGTTGTATTATTTTTCAATTAGAATTGAATTTCAGTTTTCATAATTTGTATAATAAAACTTAATATTAAAATTTAGCACATTATCATTATAGATATGACCCTACATTGGCTCAATAATGAAAACAGTAGTGACATTTGAAAACAAATAATTTATTTGAAAATAACCATAAATCTTATTTAGTTATTTCCATTATTTCATCGATCGCACTCGTCCCAATTTATTTCATAAGCACGGGTGTCTATATTTTCACTTCCCACTTTTTCTCTGGGAACTTCCCTTCGTTGCCTTATCAGGGGAAACAGAAAATGTAGAGACAATTGAAAACACAATTATTTATTCCCTAATTTGACAATTGAAAGACTTCTTTCACCATCCTCCTTGTGCCTTCTTGCTTGTAAAATTCTTCAAGAAACTCATAAAAACGATAATTTCGGTACTTGGGAGGGTGTTCCTCATCTATTAATTCCTGAATGGGGCCAATTGTAGTGTCCACGTTTGGCCCATAAAACATTGCCAACGACACTCGTGGCTGCACTTTGTTGGTAACAGCCCTATGATGCACACTTTTGAATCTTCCGTTGCTGAGAACCTATATACAACAAAGTCACTAACTTTACTTCACCCTTTTTAGACTTCTTACACATAATCCCTCAAATTCATAAACAAGTTTGCATTGCAAAGAATGACAAATAGATCCAGGTTAATTACTTTAATAAATATGCTAAATCAGAGGCCTTAGCTTGTCCCCTAAACGTGCATCCCACATGCTGAAGACAATTGCATATTTTCATATATGCCAATATAAGAATTTCACTCCTTACTTACGCTATGCACACATGCATGGATATAGAATTTGTCACGTTAATTTATGTGCACGAAAACAATAAAGACAAAACTCAGGTGTAGTTATTCAGGTGCTTTTGGTATTTTTTGAAGTCAAAATTAGAATTTCACCTCCATAACCTACGACAATCTCAAATGTAGACATTTTTTCAAATTTAAAACTGCAAATTTTAACGATAAGCATATAAGAAATTGCACTTAAATTGTGTCCTTAAAATAATAGATACACCTATTTTAGAAGAGTTGAAATACTAGAAAGAAATCTCTTGCTGCCAAAGTTTAAGACAGAAAAGGAGAGAATCTTTGGGAAAAAGCCCGCCAATGATACCTGAATTTGATCTCCTAGGTTGATTACAAATGCATTGGGAATAGCAGGCACATCAATCCATTTCCCATCTTTGATCACTTGGAGACCAGAAACATCTGATTGCAAAAGGACTGTGACAGCATTGAGATCAGTATGTATAGGGAGACCCAATGTCAGCTCTGGATCTGGACATGGTGGATAGAAATTTGCTTGTGCTCTTAGCCTAGGTTGGTCATCAAGTATCTTCAGCAAACAATTCTCCTCTATCCCTAGCCCTATCGACATTAAGCATAGAAGCCTTCTAACCAATGAACCAATCTCCTTTGCATATTCAGTGAAAGCTTCACTGTAATGAACAAGACATTGCATTTGTGTTACATTAAAAAAAATAAATTACAATAGTTTCACATAATATGCAATCAATTTTAGAATGTTAAGAGCCAAATGGAAAATTCCACACCTATATTGAGCCCCAATTTTTTCTGGTAGAAGATGAATGATATCTTCTATAGGATACCAAGGATGACTGAAACATTCACTCCACATCTTCACCTTTTCTCCACCCTCCACATGAAGGTAAAAATGGTAAAGTCTTATGCTTTTGCTTTGATCTGTTGTGAAGAGCTGTCCTCTTAGCTCTGGAGGCAAATTAAAAAGGTCAGCGATTGCTGTGATCATTTTATTGCAAACATGTTGAGGAACACCATGGTTCACAATTTGAAAGAACCCATATTCCTCACAAGCTTTTGATAACTTCTGAACCACCAATGAGGATGAAGGGGTGCCATCAAAATCGCTCAAATCAATTATGGGAATTGAAGCTAGAGAATCAATTGAAAGTTGTGGCCTTCTATCTTCTGGAAGTATAAAGTTAGGAGATAAGGAAAGGGGAGCAGACTCGTTGGCTAACTGAAAGAAACTCATCTTGTCAGACAAACTTGAGATAGAGAAGTTCATTTACCAAAGAAATGAGATTTTATATGCAAAATATACAAACACTCAAAAATATTTTAGGAACAAAACAAGTTAGTTGATAGTCACGTGCAGACCTAACTAGCAAAAGTATTCAACAGAGAAAGGACAATTACAGATTGAAGAGGGATCAGATCCAGTGCACTTCTTTCCTTAAGCGAATTTTAATAAAAAATAGTTTTAATTTAAATTAAAAAAAATGTTTAATATAATTTTATTTAAATAAAAAATTCAATTAAATGAATTTAAAAAAATTTATTAAAATTTAAAAAATATATTTAAACGAATTTTTTTAGCTTAAAGTAAAATTGGTTTAAATAAATTTTTTTAACTTAAATTAAAATTATTTTTTACTAAAATTCGTTCAAATAATAAAAAAATTGTTTAAAAAAAACTTAAAATTATAATTTGCAGTTCTCGTCAGAATTGCAGGCAATTCAAGTCCATTGAAGAGTGGTCACTCTTTCCAGTTTTTTTATATAACGTAAACAATAAGAACAGTCAAACTACGCATTGTGTAAACTATTAACCACTGAATCCGCTTGAACAAAAAATAGCAAATATTTTAAATATTCTGAAAACCAAATTTCTCATGTAAAGAATCTTAGCGATGCTTTCCAATTAAGTGATGAAATAGTTCTTCAAATGATTTCGAAAGAGTATTCTTGAAACTTATATCGAAGAAACAATTTCTTGAAATCTTAACAAAAATATCATAATAAATAACGGAGGGAATTTTGTATTACAATTCACGATTTCCGAACAAATTATGATGAAGTGCCTTGTGAATTGTAACTGTAGTTGAAAAAAAGTCTTCACTCTTATATATTAAATTAAGCAAAATACAAAATAATTAAATATAATTTTCCTTTTGATCTGTTTTAACAGTATAGACTTAAAAAAATTAAAAGGACAGATTTTATCTCAAATCAACAATAGTTCACTTAACAGTATTAATCCCTTGCTTCGGAATGATTATGATCTTCAATCAAACATTGAGAAACAGGAACAATTAAGAAATGACAATTCAAATGAGGTCTCAATAAACTCTCCCGTTCTTCCATGCTACCCGGGTTCAATGGATCTGGGTAGAGATTTTAGTTACCTGTCAGTTGATGAACCAATTGCACAGCTTGCGGCATTATAATTTTTTTTTTTTATCAAAGGCAATATTTTCCTATTTCTTTTCTTCCGCTGATTTCATTGTACTCTCTTCTTTTTGTGTGTGGAGGAGGTCTTTTTCGTATCATGTGGTCTAACACAACCAAATGAACAATGGGTGTGACACTGGAGAAAATGTATTCTGCATTCAAAACCAACCATGGCATTGTGTACAATTAACTGCCATTCTCAACTTGTTATTTGCTTGCAGGGTATTTAATTGCACTTGCAAGCACTAATGGGTGTTTTATAGTCTATTAAAAACATTTTTTTAGCAAAAAGTTCAACACTTAAAAATAATTTTTAGAACGAATCGAAAGAGAAATTACAATAAATTAAAGATATTAAGCTTGATATAATATTTGAGAAAAGTGCAACTAGTGTACAAATTTAGAGGATAAAGTGCTTTTCACCTTAAAATGAAAAACAACCTTCATATCTTATGCAACTTGTGTTAACAACGAGCATTTATCACAATGTTTATACGATTGAAAAATCAGTCTCAAACTATACATCCAACAAAATTATGAACACAGTATGTATGCAGAGTCCAAATATACTTGTATCACAGCTGTTGATCCAACCATGGGTCTCTGGGAGCTTTTCTAGCACCAAAATATTCTGCAACACTTTCAGAAACTCCAGCAACATTATTTAACAATGAGGATCCCCATGCCAGCCATCCTGTCTGTGCTTGCTGAGTTTTTGCTTCAGCCATGCTTTTCTGCTGCTGTTCTTCAATGAGGTCAAGCCACCACTTCGCCATGAACTCCTTCACAGCCTCAACCCCTTGATTTACAACCTCTAAGGGGGGAACTATGATTGGATTCTGGTCCAGGTTGAGCTTTGTTATTTTTTCAAGCCTACTGAATGTGTAAGGAAGAGCTCGGATCTGATTATTGCCGAGGTCAAGCTCACTCAAGTTAACCAAATCACCAAGTGTTTCGGGCAGCTCTGTCATATCACTGAAATTACTGCTAACGTTCAGATATTCCATATTTGTGAGCTTTCCAATAGATTGAGGTAGGCCATGAAGCTCATTGAAGTGAACATCAAGATGTCTGAGAGATTTCATTTCTCCAATGGAAGAGGGAAGAAATCGTATCTTATTCAAATGGATCAAGAGCTTCTCAAGGTTAACTAGTCCATAACCCATGTTTGTTGGCAGACACATTAAGTTGTTAAAGCTTGCATCCAGTTCAACTAGTGACCTACAATTGCATTAAAGAAAAACTTAAACAAACCCATAAAATAGTAAGTGTCATGATATTATATTTCTAACACTTCCTGCAAGAGCCTTTTGGACTTGAAGCATGGACAATGCATAGGCCCATCTACCTTGTGAGTTGTGACAATTAAACCTTTTTTATTAGAAGAATGAGGGCAACAAAAATCAAACTCCAGAGCACTTGGTCATATAGAGGCTCTAATACCATGTCATGACTCATGAGCCAACTATTCCAAAAGCTCGAGGTATTATGTGAAGACACGTTAATGATTTTCGAGCCATTTGGAAGAGCTTATACAAAAATAGCTTATGACTCCCGTAAAGTTTCTTTAGTTTATTTTTAATAAGCTTCTTGTTATAACTAATCAAAAGAAGTTGTTTTTAACTAATTTCAATAAGTCTCATGCTTAAATTTATGACATAAATCATAACGTAAAAAAAAAAAACACATTTTATATTATGTTTCTAACAAGAAAAACAGATGTGGTGCCAATGCCAAACATAAGGGAAACATTGTTTTCAAAACAAACCTGCAAAGAGCAATGGATTCAGGAAGAGCAGTTAGCTTATTCCCAGACAGATTAAGGATCTTCAAATTAATAAGCAACCCAATGGAGTCTGGTAGGGACTCTAGAACATTAGACGACACATCTAGCTCCACAAGCTTTTGTAGTCTAGCTATTGAATCAGGAATCGCCTGTTTTGGGGGCACATAAACATCCAAACTTATAAGCTGCAAGCTACAATGTATAAAGGTATAATCTTTTGCAAATGCTCAAAAACAATTAATCCACTAAACTTCCATTCTTTTTTTCCCATTTCAAATATGCAGGTGTTTAAATAAAAATTGTTTTTAAAAAAACTACAATAATACACACACGGAGACATAAATATAGTTATACCTCTAACTGATTGCGAGACAAATTAAGCACAACGAGCCCATGAATCTTTCCAAAAGCTTCAGGAAGAATCCTTAAGTGGGACCCAGAAAGATCAACCCTTTCAACTTCCTCACTCTCTGCTTTCCTCAAAATCCCAACGACTTGTTCATTCACGTTCTCATCAACCGATTGCGCCACGCACGATTGATAAACCTGGACCAGCCTCTCTTCAGCAACCCTAAGCTGCTTGGCACAGTTCTCGTGCATCTCCTCTACCCTCAAGAGAGCCTGATACACGTGCGAGTCGTTATCCGGCACGTGGGGTTGGGCAATCTTGGCACGTGAAGCAGCAACTGCAGAAGGGTCCGGGCGAGGACCCAAGGTGCGAAGAAGGGAAAGGGTGTGGGTGATGTTAAGGTCGGAGACATGATGGTTGAGTGAGGGTAAGACTTCGGGGTGGTTCAAATGAGGAAAATGGGTGAGAAGAGATTGGTGGAGTTCAGAGGGTAGGGGTGAATAGGTGTGAGGATCTAATTGGTTTAAGAGGTAGCAGAGAATGGGGAAATGGTTTGGGTTGGGATTCATCTTCTGAAACAATAGTCAGAAGAAGAAGAGCAGAGAAGGGTGGATTTGTGTTTTCTGCTGCTGACTGCTGTTTTGATAAAGTGGACTGAGACGCCGTGACAGAGTGGCTGTTTGGTTTGGGCTTTTCGGTTTGGAAGTGTGTTTGAGGAAGTTTTAGCCAACAAAAAAGGAAAATGTTTAATTAGAGAAATGATAATCAAAGTTTAGAGTTATGATTATTTAGTGTGGACTTATCGTTAACCATTAAATCATTGACTAGTGGCCTGCTTGTTTGAACATTTGAGCCTCAACGGAGATTGGTCATGCGTGAATTTATAGTAGACTAATGTATTCTTTTTATTACATAGAATAGTGCGTGTATTCATCCAATTTCAAGGCATTGCCAAACACAGGCAGAGTTCATTAGATCAACGTTCTCCTAACCATCTCATTGTACTACCAAATTTAATAAATGCATTGCTTGTGATTTTGAATTTAATAGTCATTCTAGGCCGAATTCTTATACTATTTTATTCATTTTAATTTTTAAAATTACATTTTTTAAGATAAAAAAATACATAATATTTCTGAACTCAAAAGGAGTAAGATTGATCTCTAGTCATGATTAGTGACCATCCTTAGTTTAAAAATATTTGCACATGGTAAAATTAACTAGGATAATGCAAAGTATAATCTGAATTTATGATTTAGATACATGGAATATAATTTTAAAAACTAAAAAAAATATTAAAATTAACATTAAATCAAGAGAACCCGGTGGGATCGGTACCCTTGTCTTTTAGTGAGCTCTCTTGGCTGGGTTGTAGCAATCAATCTTAAAAAATTTAGCCATCGACTACTTGGAGGCAACTTTTGTCATTAGTTTTGGTTACCCACGTCAGACATTGGGAAACATCGTATATAATTCGGAGAACCCAATTATCAATGATGAGGGCGACATTTGACGAATGAAGACAAGTTTGATTGAGGTAGAAGAACATTATATACTGTACGGATAAGGATGAAAGAAAGCCAACTCCAGAGTCGATGAACCCTAATATGCGATTGCCAAAGGATAACACTGAGACATCTCCCACCATAAATTTTCACTTTCATTGCACAGTGGCTCACAACAATATTACTATTAAAAGGGGGAAGAGCAGAGAATGATTGTTTATTTATTTTGGCCAAATCAAATTTCAAGAAAAAAAATCCGTAGAAAATGACTCAAATAAAATTATGGTATATAAACTTCCTCTAAATTGTGGGGCCTGTGGCCTACATACTTACAAATAGTATTTTATGTTACTTAAATATTTTGTATTTATCTTAAATTATTTATCACTTTAAAATATTTTAAAAGTATTTATTGTTTATTTTTGGTATCCTTATTTATCAAGATAGTTTTTTATTAATTAACTGCTAAATCATTTTAAACACAATAATCACCTAATTATTATAATAATTTCAGTACTTTTAATAAGAATATTTAAATAAAGTCAATTTAGATTATCAAAGTAATTAGTATAATTAATTAATTTTTAAATATGTACATTAATATTAAATGACAGTTAATATAGACAGAAACAAATTGTAAATAGAAAAAATGGAAATAATGAATAATATACTTTATATACAGCTATGTGGTAGGATGTATTAGATGATGCTTGTACTAGTGTTGGACTCTAGTCCTTATCATGTTTAATTTCGACTTGCGTTTCAATTAAAAAACATGCTTTTTTAAATTATAAATTGAAAAATCCCAATCATACTGAAGTCGTCCTGAAATTTCAACTTTATGTTTTGTAAATAGAAAGGTAAATGGCATCTAGATAAATTATAAACAAGTATATTATCATTTTAATTATCAATGTATATAATTATTCATTATTTTAATTTTTATCAATTTATGAATCATTAATTTAATTAAACAAAAGATCATTTTAGTTATCAATATATGTAATTATTTAATCTTCAATATATTATTATTATTATTATTATTATTATTATTATTAATTTTAATTTTTATCATGATTTAGACATTAATTATTTACTGAAATATTTTTAAAAATAATTTTTTATTATTATTCATTTCAAACTATTTAACTCTATCTTATAATAATAATATAATTAGTTAGTCAGTAATTAGTTGCTATTTAATTTTTTGTTTTACTCTCTTATATCAACATATAATTTTTTTTTAATCAAAATAACATATTAGTTTTACCTAGTACATATTGTTAATGTGGGATACCAACTATAATGGTTTAAAATCACCACAATGTAATTTATATAGCTTTTTAAGAAAAAAAATTATAATAAAATTAATATAAATTACTAATTTTAATCACTGCTGTTTGTTTATTATGGGGTGCAAAATTAGTTATAGAACTTTTGTAATTGTGGCAGTCTAAAATAGTCACAACAAGTATTGCATGTGCAATACTTCCTGGGGTAGTTTATGAATTATTTTGATAAATTTAAAAAATAATGATAATTATTAAAATAATTAATAATTTTATATATCAAAGATTAAAATGATGATTTGTTTGATTCAGGAACTAGTTTAACAATTTTTTAAAAATAAAAAACTAAAATGATAAATTTTTCTTATAAAATTATTAATATATAAAATTAAATACCCAAAAATTATAAAAAATAATGTAAAAAAATAAAAACTTGAGTTTTTTGGTAAGCCTAACCCTTTACAAGCTTAATCCAAATGAACCAATCAATTTATATGTTGAGTTTACTCAAATTAAAATCAGAATTGAAGTTATCTTAAAAAAATAGAAACGAAATTATTTACACTATATCTTTATTTATTTAAGTTAGTTCATTAAGTTTAACATATTTTGACAATTTTTATCCAACAATGTATATTCAAATTTATTTATTTTTGTTACATCGCACGTATAGTTTATCAAAAACTATTATTTTTGAGTTATACAATATTATTATGAAAAATAAAGTGTTTCCTTTATTTATTTAACATAATTGCATAAATTAATAAGACATATCGTTTACAATGAAATTTATGATTAGTAAACAAACAAATTAAAGAAATTTTAGATTGTTCTTTGAGTTTTTTTTAAGTATATTTTAATGTAATAATTAAATCAATATTGTAAAGTAAAGAATTAAACAGATAATAAAAACAAGATGAAACAATATTAAAATTAAGCATAAAAGTTATACATAAAGAAACTTGAATTGAAGTAAATTATAGAAATATAAACATATAGTTTTAATCATAATTAATAAAGTTTGTTGATCTCTAAGTTGTTAGTTCTAACTGATGCGCAAAACTTTTGACTCAATATTTGTATTTAAAAGTTATCCTCTAAAATGTAAAACTTAATCTTATTTAATATTTATACATAACTTATCTTAATCTTTCTTTCTAATTGCACGAACATCTTTCATAACTTCTTTTTATGTGTTTTCCTATAACTACTATTATTTTCTTACACATGATCTATTTCATGTATCTCATTTTTAAGTTGGTAATAATTACTACTAATTTTTGAAAACGACTTATAACTACTTTTTAACATATTTCTTTATCTTTTGCATCTTCTTTTGTTGCTTAAAATTGTAAAAAATTAATTCCTTCATATTAATCATTTCTACAACTTTATTAGTGAACATATTAAAGTTTTTTTTTTTTATTATTAATTTAGACTCTTCCAATCTTAGATTTATAACACCCTAAAAAACTCTTCAAAATGTTAGCCCCATTTTGACATAAAGTAAAGTTTTTCTACCCATTTTCATAAAAATATGTTAAAGTATTATCCTTTCGTCAAAACTCAAGGAACAATTAATCTAAATGTAAGACTATAAGATTATATCACTAATTAGTAAAAAAAAAAAAAAAAGTCCATAATAACAATCTTTGAAATAAATTCAAACTTTTAAAATAGTATAATTCATTCATCTGCCTCGAACTTTGGTGCCAAAATTTCGAAAAATTTCCCCTCTTTCAAACACATCCTCAAATATAAAATTTTAAGAGTTGATAAAAAGTAAAAATAAAAATAAAAAATTATTAAGACTAAAATCTTATTCAAACTTAACTTTTTTTTTTTATACAACCAATAAGATTTAAATTACGACCTAGTGTAAATTACTCAGACCCCCAGTACTCGAGTTTGCTTAAATTCTCTTTACGGATATGAATAAAAAACACAATTTCATATTTTAATTCTTTTGGCCTCCATACCTTCCATCTCTATGTTGCATTAGAGGAGGCATGTGATTATACGAACATCCCCCCTTTGCTTTTTTATTTTCCTCAGCGTTCTTTCCCTCACTTGTCCAAAATTGACGTTTGCTTGTCATGGAACAATAACCTTACAATGTCAGGAGTTCTCCACTGCAGCTCAGAGCGGACAAGGCTTATATCTGAAGAGATCCATCATCCATGACTTCGTCGCTTCCCAGTTGAGACCTTTCCTCTTTTATCAAGTTAACTTAAACATTCAATCTTAGCAAATGTTGAGTTATTATAAATTTGTTACTCTTTTATATGCTTAAACACATGTAATATAATCCAAAAGAGATAGGAATAAAAGATCGCACATGGTGGGGTAGGATATCCTTAAACCGTCTTCCAGAAGATTACACAAATGAACTCACTTTCATGCTTCCCCTGACATGTTTTGATTAATAAACTAATTAGTTGATTCCAGGTAATTGGGTGGGTTAATATCTCTTCCAAAACTAAGACAGCGAAAGGAATCTTCCCTTTGAATGTTACATGAGTGGAGGTCCTTTAATTTCCAATACTAAATCTAGTTTTTTAACGCCTCTTAGCTGAAGGGGTGATCCTATTTGTATATATCGAATATTTTTATAATATGTATTCAAAGAGGCACCTTAAAAAAGATTATAATACGATTTTTTATTAAATATTATATCATTGAATGTTATTAATCTATTTGTTATTTACTTTATACAAATTTTTATTAAGTATCTTTAAACATAGTTAGAAAAATCGTTTATTTATATATATATTTCTTATTCTATTATGTTATTTAAAAAAAAAACAAAAAAAAAAGATATTCATTTTATGTTGGTTCTATCAATTTGCAGTTTTGTACGGTATATATGATGATGAGTTCAAGTTATTCGAACATTCATGTGCCAGCTGTCATGAGATAGTTTTAATTTCATAGTGTTGAGTTCATTGCATCTCCTGCATGGAGTTTGGTCCCCCCATGCTATGCTTTGCCATCCCTATTTGGTGTTCATACGAACCCAATATGTCTTCCGGTGTTCATTGTTCATAGCAGCACTTCATTTGAATCTGGCCCGAATCCCATAACTGAACTTAAACACCATCATTATTAGTTAATCAAAATGGAAACAAACACGAATAGACAATTTATGCAGAAAATAAAGGTCACCAAATAGAGCAAAGTTCTGAAATAAGATAATCTGGAAGTTTTGTATCGGAGCGAGAACAAAGCAATTAATTCTTTTTTATTATCCCGATTCAATACGAATATTCTCTAATCTCCAAAATGCAATTTTTAAGAAGTACTACTACTATAAGATATAATTTGTAACTGATAATGGAATGGGAATTAATATCTTTGAAAAAGTGGAGCATCAATAAAAGATAAATTGCCATGCTATAGCATAGAGTAACGAGGGATGACAGTACATTGCCATTAAAGAATAGAAAGCATTCAGCATAACCAAATTCATGTCGGGTAGAAAAACTTACAACTGAAACGTGTCCCCATACGATTTTTCAGTCTTGGGTTAAACCTGCAAGCAAAAATATCAAACTATTAATCAATCCAAAGATGTACTCTTTAACTTAAATGGTAAAAAAACGAAAAGAAAGGAAATTAAGGGGAAAAGTTTGTAACGACAGTGATGACAAGGGAAAAGGGTGAGGCCATAGCCAAAGCAAAAACACACGAATAGGCCCTCAACGAAGTTATAGAACCACAGAACCAAATCAATTTGGCTATGGAATTACCCAAAAATCGAATAAAAAGAAAATGAAAAAGAAAGAGCACGGAAGAGAAACGGACGAACGAACTCACCGTCATTACAAAAACGGAGGCAAACACGAAATTGGAGTGAAATTCATTAATGGGCAATGAAGGATCACAAGCTAAAACCGCAATCCCTGTTAACGATTTTACAGTCCCATTTTACATCACATGTATATTCAGCACTCTTTTCTTTCCCATCTCTTTCTCCTTTAATTTCATCTTGTTTTAATAATGTTATATATATTATCGTAAAGTTCCTTTCGTCATTTTCATTTTATAATAAGAGCTGGTTCTTAATCTTAATAGTTCCATTCCAATATTCCATCTTCCACGGACGAAATCAAACCACCGTAACGCTATTGCCAGTGGTTACCGTGGTGGATCATATACACGCTCCCATGAGCATGGTGGTAACCGTAGCGAGGCACACGAATATTCCTCCCGGAGGATTTCTCAGCCCCGACCGGAAACGCCGTCGGCGGCGACATATGATGGACGCAGCGCTCCACCACCGGCGCCAAAGCCCTATACCTCCGGCCAGACCCGGAACCTGAACCACCGGCGGTAGGGCTGCAATACGACGATGATGAAGAAGTGGACGACGCAGAGGAGGAGGAAGAGGAGGACGCTGATTTTGACAGAGAGGATGACGGAGGTGTGAAAACCTTGGTCGAAGATCTCGGTGGCGAGAGGAAGGCTCTGATCTTCAACGGCGACACGACGCGCTCGTATTCTTCGATGAGATTGGCGAGATCTTCGTCGGAGGTGATGGAAACCAAAGCGTCAAGGTCTTCGTCGGGTAATTGGCAGCGAAGGTGCCTCACGGAGGAGCCGCAGAGCTCTTCGAGCTTCAGCAATAGCTCTGTATCATGAGAGATTAGGGTTATTACGATTCGCAAACGCAATCTCACTCTCGAGTTCGTGGTTTAAACTGTGAAATAGTGACGAGTGAAAAATTGAACTGAGAGAGAAAGAGAGGGAACTGACCGGTGAATGGAATGGAGCGTTCAACGGCGAGGACGCGGGTGTGGCCGCCGAGATAACGGAGCTTGCCGTCGGGATAGCGAGGGAGGATTTTGCCGCCGTAGCTGCAGAGGAATTTGACGGTGGATTTAGGAGCGGGTTGGGAGGGTCCGAACATGCTTGGTTCAGGTTCAGATGCGGGTTTATTGAGGTCCAGTTTTGGATTGAAAATGAGGAATAAAGTTTGGGAGAAGAGAAGAGTGTGTGTTACTAGGGAGAAGGTGCTCTGGAGTCTGAAGGAGCGCCTTCAAGCCTATGCGTTGTTGCATTTGTCCCTTATTTATAGGGATTTTTCTCACTGCGCTACAATGTTGGGTCAGTTGCCTAATTTGGATTTGTAATTTGGGAGGGTTGAGAAGCTAACAAGTCCAAAAGTATAAATTATTATAATATAACAAATAAATTTATTTAATTATTTTTGCTCAGGCCACTTTTCTTCTTTTTTCAATTTAAAAGCTCTTTTCCACAGAGAAAAATAATTAGTTAGTGTCTTAAAGGTTAGGAAAGAGAAGTTAAAAAAGAATCATAAATGAGAAATTACCCTCTAACTACTATCTAAGCGATATAGAGAGGGAGACAGAGAGAGGAAATATCTCTTCCACATTTGAGGATATTAACAAATAAACAACATAGTGTGTTTCTTCTGAAAAAGGGTTCTCCATTTTACTTCATCACGGTGTCTAAATAATGCACTATCTTTAATTTAAATAAGCATTTTATAGGAGATTATTAATAATAATGTTTTTAATAAATATTTATCAACGATTCTTTAAAAATTCAATACTTAATTTAAAAGGCTACATATTTACAAGACAAAAATGACCTTTCAACAAATTAACAACAAAAAAAATTCGTTAACAGCATTGCCTGGTGCTAGCTCTTCTTAAAAAAAAACACATAAAGTGAGAGTACACTTTTACTTAAAAGTTTAGGAAGATAGTTTTCACCGCCATTCAATATCACATAAATAATTTATATTACATTTTACTTAAAAGTCATATCTTACTTTAAAAACTTATATTATTTTATTCTAATAATCTTTGTTCATGCATGCCCGATTTATTGGAAAAGAATTGTTTGTCTTTCTTTGATAATAAACCACCCTTTTTTATGTGGTGGCTTTGCAAAATATTAATGAAAATATAAATGTTTATAAAAAATTAAAATATCTTCACAAACAGAAGTATAATAATATTTATAAGGTGTAAATTCTTTTAATGTACATTTTTTATCCACTAAGAAAAAGTAACTTTTTTCAAACGTATGAAAGAAAAAGAAAATATTTGACCCGAATAAGGAAATGAATATTCAATATAATTATCAAACTTGGAAATAAAACGAAATTACTTTCTAAATTTTTTGTGTCGGTGATAAAATAAAATATTTATTTATATACTTTAAGAGGCACAATAAAATTAACTAGCAACCATTTAGATATAATTTAATAATGTTTTATTTTCAATTTGTTGTGCATAATTATGCAGAATACAGTGCCGTGTATTATATGTTCTGAATAGAATGTCGTGGAACCCTCAAAGTACAGAAGAATATTTTCTTTCCATATTTTCAAAGAGTTCAGATACTCAAGCAAAAGTAATTAATATGTAATTTTCTCGTTATTTGGTCCCCGGCCATTGCTAACTTTATCTAACTGCGTAATTTTCATTTTTAAGTAATTAAGTCATGCATTTCACGAGTTTAAGAAAATAAATTATACCAGATAGTTTTGCCTAGTTTGGTTGTCAAAGAATAAAAAACACACAACTACGCATCTTTGATCTTTCTTTATGATTACACATCATCGTCCAAAGTGCAACAAAATTAACAATGAATTAGGCGAAACTATCAAATATATAAATATTGTTAGATGTTATCTTCTTTGCTTGACTAATCTAATCTATCCCTTTATATTCTGTAAAAAAATTTACACTACTGTGGTGAATATTGCTGCATATAAAACATTTATATATATTAAAACAGAGAGGATTTGAAGGCCACACGAATTCCTCCTTGGTTGAAAACCAAGTATTTGCAGATTCATAAGTAGAGGATGGCAGAATATGGAATTTATATATCTTAAAAACAGGAATTAAACTGTAAATAATAGCCCATCACAGGAGTTTATATGGTGTAACTATAAGGCCACGTCATGCTTTGCAGCCATATATATCAAGTCCTATTCATACTTAGCAATCTGGATGGAACCTATGGGTTCCACATCCAAGTTGGTTTCAAGGATAACCTTGACCCGGCGCTAAGATGCTCCATGTGGATCCCAATACAGGTCAATTTCTGAGATGGCATAATATACTTGGACCCCTTCATTCTTTTCTTTATAAATATATTTTGATTATATTTAAATGTATCCATATCCTTATAATATGACTGATTCTTAAAATTTATAAATAATTTTATGAAAATATTTTAATCAAAATTTAAGTTTGGGTTCTATGCATAATTATATTAATATTCCTTTTATATAAATTCATAAATTTTAAATAATTTCATATACTGTATTTTGTCTGTACATCTTTCACGGAAATTTTTATTTTCCTTTTTTTTTTATTCGTGATCTTGTTGTTTCAATAAAAATATAATATTTATTTTTTGGACACACGCAATATTTATTTTAAAAATAAAAAATGTGCCATAATTATAAGAAAGGGAAATTACGCTTATTTAAAGATATGGTGCATGGTGGTAGAGAGGCAGTGTCGATGATGGTTGACAATTTAACGCTTTTTTCATTGGAGAACGGATCATGTGGTCCTATGAGTGCCACACGGTCAATCATATTCTATGCTCAATTGCCATTGCCATTGCAATTTACAATATCTATTGCAATAAAATTTTAAAAAAATCGTTGTTGGCGTACCATAAATGCCCTATGTTAAACTATTATCTATTCATATATATAATTTTTAAAAAAGCTATAATATAATTATCTATTTGTTTTTTATTTAAATTTATTTATAATAATTGGACGCATCTTATTTTTTTTGTTGTTGAAATGATGGCAGTTGCTGCGTTGCTGGCTTAGACAGTATATTTGTTTATCTATTCGTCGCTGAAAGATTGTCAAGAAGCATTCAGCTTGAACAACAGATATCTGCGTGGCTTTGGTAAATCATACATTAACAACTGTGCAAGAGGGATTAAGAAATAGAACAAGGCACCAGTAGAGAGGAAATTATCCAGAAAAAAAAAAGAGTGTATTTCATGCTATTCATTTGATGCTCTCCATAGTTCAATTTAATATTCCAAGTTAATTTGGTTTTGGCTGATGAATTCTTTGTCTTACAAAATACCAAAACCTTCGTATTTAACGGTGTTCACTGTTCACTGAAAGAATACATTTTATGCTACTAATTATTTTTATTCTTAAAAAATATTTTTTTTTATCAAGTTTTTAATATACACACACAATCTAGCATAAAAGGTTGTTAAAAATATTCTTTGGTACAACTGAAAGGGAAGAAAGACAACGACCTAACAAATAAATCTCAAATGATATCGGTCAAAAGGGGAGAATTCAAGTCTAATGCTGATAGACTTAAAGAAAAACACTAAATTCTTCTATTATTATAGTCTGCAAATTCTCTTATTCATAAAATAGTAATAATGTTTTTGAAAATATTAATTAGTTTTTATTTTTAATTTTTTTAAAGAAGTATATCACTAAGTAAAAGAATTAATTATAAGATCAAATAGTACGAAGATTACGCATTTTTCTAAACTTAAATAATTTGCAGAAGACTTGAATGGTTCCTACGCCTTGTCGCTATTATAGCAAGTACCAACAAAACTATCCCCAAACATATTTTCATTAAGGAAATTAGTAGTCAATTAATATTGGTTATGAAGAATATAAAACACTGGAATAAAAAATGCGGGCTGGCCATTATTTTCAAATATAAATATGATTATCTTAGGGGGAAAATAGAGTGATAAACAGTTTCAGGCTCATGCTGACTCTTAACGATAAGTCTGCAAAAGGAGTTTTTTTTTTTTTTTTCTTTTCTGGATAAGTCAAGATAAAGATAATATATTGTAATTGATCAATTTATTATTAATTTTTTTCTTTTCGATTGCTTTGTCCTCGTATGTGAACGTTTTAGAATAATTAATTAGGGGTCTGTGTAGTTTATGGATGTTTATTTTAAAATAAGTATGCTTATAATTTAATTAAAGATAATAAATATATTTTTTAAAATTAAATAATAATAAATATTAAAAGAAGACTATTAAAATTAAGAAAGATACTATAGAATGAATGATTAAAATTACGACATATTATCTGTGATAATATGATATATCAAATTTTAAAAATTTCTAAATTAAATTTAAAATTTATTGTAAAGGTTTTATCTATAATCAAAATATTCTCACTGGACATTTCTTTTTAGAAAACTTCTCTAGTGTTTAAGAGTTAGTCAAGTAAATATGATTGGATAAAATTATTAATGCGTTTTATTTATATTAGAATGCGGTAATATTGTTAGAGATTTAAATTTACAATTTCTTATCAGTTCTAAATGTTCAAACTTCATAATTTTGGATTTATATTTGTATAAGAGAAAAAAAATCCTACGTAAAAAAGTTAATTTTATGTATTATATTGTGGGTATTTTTAAGTTAAGGATATATGCAATTTTTTTATATAAAAAAAATCTCATAATCGCTTCTCCACACTTATGGGTCGCAGCTTCCTTCAGCATTCTCATTAATTTTACATATCAATGAAAAAAAATGGTCATAGTTTTACCATGCAATTAGGCTACAGGTCTTAGAGACAAAACAATCTAGCTACTACAACATGGTAAGAAATAAACAAATATTTTTAAGGAAAAAATTATCGTATTAATATTTGTGAACAAGTTTCTTCAAGTCAGTTTTATCACTTGAAGTTAGAAATGCAGCAGCCAAACTGTTCAAATAAAAGGTAGAGATGGTCAAAATAGGGCTACTTATCTAGAATTTGTCGAAACATATTAGCGAAGAAAGACGAATACCATATTCAGACTGGAGCAGGGGTGAGGGATAGCAAGTAGTTATAGATCCACAAATTTTTATTTAGTATTTAACAATGAAGTTTTTAATCAAGTATATACATATATATATGGTAATTACCTATATATGTAGATTGATTACCACAAAATGTAATTGAACTTTTATATGTTATTTATAATATTATTTACTTTTATTAAGAAATTGTCATTATGATATGCAATGTTAATTTACTTGTATAATTTATGAAGTTATTAACTACCGATAAGTACTTAAAGCCATGTTTATCATAAAAGGAA